GACTTTGTAGGGAGCAAATCTAAAGTAGCATGTTCTGCCGTTTCTATAATTTCTGACGGAGTGCAATAATCCATGTCGCTATCAGTTTCAGTCATTTCTATTGTAGGCATACAAAATTAACATTGTTATATTTTGTATTGAAATAAAAAAAACTTACCATACAGTTTTTTAATTAAAATTAATTGCAATTAACTTTTTCAAATTTTGAATTCAAAATGACAGATATAGTGCAATGGGTCTGAAGTAGATGGCGTTACGCGCGACGGCGGGTTGTATAGTATTAAAATTACGTTCACCGAATATGTAAATTACGTTACACATGGTTTAAATAAAAATAGCGAGCGTAAATCATTTTCAATACATGTACATACGTATAGGTAACATCATTATTTGCATTGAATATGCAAAAATATTTGATATGTATGTATAGAAATATCTTACAACCTGCAATGTAAAACGATGTCAATGTGACATATCTCCGTGATTGTAATTTTTTAATTGGCCAACTTTCAAGGTCAATTTCTTTTTGGTACTAGGACCAAAAGTATCCACTTTTTGTACAGTTGCCATAGTGATAGCGATTAATCCTGAAAACGCCAACTTTATTTACCGAACACTGTCACAAAATAGCGTCTTATTCAGGTGGTTGGAGAAAAATAACATTTTTTTGTCAGATAATTAAGCCCGCTTGACATGGAGCAATAAAAATTGCAATTGCATGCAAGTTGCAAGAAAAATTGCGAAAGGCATGCGCAGTTCAAAGCCAGCTGATCAATTGCTGCAAGAGACTTGCATGCAATTTTTAAAGCGGGGTTCCCATTTGTGCATTTCGATGCCGCATTTTATGATGCCGCATCAAACTGCATGCATCTTTTGTATTCACACTACATTTTTATTGCAGCAATTTTACTTGCGCATGGAAATGCACGATTTAGAGCATGTTCTATTTTCTGACGCATTTTTAGTAACTTTCTAGAGTCTTTCGTTTTATATATTGGCGCTATTTCAATTTTTGTTGGTATTTATGATTATGTGCGTTTGAATTATACTTCATGTTTACTTTTGTGTGTATGTTTCAAACCTAGAGAAGGAAGTCTTAAGTTTAAGTTGGTGTATTTTTTGTTTGTTACTTTTTGAATTTATTAAAAGCGTTCGTTAGTTACTATGACCAGCACATAAAAATAAAAAAAGATTGGTAGCAGTGTAGTTGCATGAATAACTTGCACAAATGTAGACATGAATGCCTTTTTAGTTGCGCATCAAAAAATGCGTCATGAAAATGCAGCAACAAAAATTGCAGCATCGAAATGCACGAATGGGAACCCCGCTTAAGACCGGTGCTATTTTTCTTGCATGAATCGTGCAATTCTAGGGATAAATCTAGTTGTTTTTGTGTCACCAACCTAGTAAAATACAGCGGCGGCAACTATGATGCTGAGAGACGCACTCATTACTTGTTTTTATTAATCGTATTTATTCTTGTAATTTTCATGTTTCTTCAAGCAATCAAAATTTAATTTTTATTGGAGGTTAGCAACTTTGTTGACAAGTCCATATTTTTCTTCTGTTGGCAGACATGTGGCAATTGAAATAGAATTGCACCATGTCAAATACCATGCAATGCTTATCGCATGCAAGGATTTGACCTTGCAATTTCTTTCTGCAAGTTCTTGCGCGTTGTATTGCTCCATGTCAAGCGGTCTTTAGGTTTCTGATACGTGATACGTCACAGGAACAAGTGACCATCGCCATCATCTTCGCCGCCTTACTGCTATGCAATTCAAATTTCGTTGAGAAGTAGTGCAGGGCGTCTATCATCTGCATTATTAGGTACGATTTACGAAAAGAAATTGCGTTTCTGGTCTTGTATTGACAGATTTATAACTTCAATCGCTCCAAAACCTACCAACCTAATTAATCGCAACTTCAAAGTGCCGAGCGATTAGTGTAGCGCTTCGATTTATTTCTGTAAACTATCGAAATCGTCGCCGTCGAAGAAAAGAGGCACACGCATCGCGCATTGCGTATTTTGTTAGATTTTTCTTTGGGGCCTTTCAGGTGTGAATTAATTCCGCAGTCATGCCAAATAAATAGGAGACATTTCTTTCTCGGCAAACGTTCTGCGCGCTATACGGCAAAGAAAAATCTATAACTGATGAGCATAAAGTTTTCGCTCGCCCACTCCGCTTGTTTATTCATTTGATTGTAGCAGAAGAACGATGTTTATCTTATCAATAAATTCGGCAAAAAAATGTTAAACTTTTGCATGTACTCCTTATTTATTTTATTTATTTACCGATTTTAACGTCGCCCGTAGTGTTGATTCTACCAAGTTTCAATCACGAACTGTTCTGGGGAGTTTTGTGTATTTTGCGAAGAAAATTTGCGCTTCCCGCTTTGGCTTGGCGTACTTACCTAATTATAATTTCAGAAAGACTTTTTACCTTACCTTTTATTAGGTAGATGCAACGACGTCTCCTGTGCATATAAAGACGGTGCATAAATTACTTAATCAATTTGCCTAACACAGATTGCGGGTTGATGTATTGAAGCGCGTCTCCTTCGAGTTCGATCAATCAACACATACTTGCTAGAAACGCGGTAGTCATTATAAGTTGTGTCTGGGAAGTTAGCACATCATTATCGAAAAGTGAGAAATTTTTCCAACAAATGAGGTGCCAACCCTTACAGCAACTCACTTTTTTTGTTACTGTTGTGTAGATTCCTTGACATTTTCAAAAATTCAAATTTTTTACTAAAACTTTATGTGCATTGGATATGAGGACATATTGGCCTGTGAACGGTATTGTAATGTCTCTTTAATTAATAAAAATTAAATCGACACTTTACTTGAATATGAACCTCATTAAAGTTGTTATATACTTTTCATGAATGCAACTAGGTACGACCCCATTTTACGTTATATATTGCTTAATTTTAGTTTGCGTAATTTTATTTATTATTATTATTAGATAAAAATGTGAAATTCTTGCTTTTATTTAAATTGATAAGATATTGTGCAATGATAGAGTTGCAGGTGTTTCTTTGTACGGAATTTCCTTATTCTTAGACATTATTTATTTAAGCTTTATTTTCGTATAAATTTGACACATGTGTTAAAAGGTAATGAATTTGGTCTAGATAAGAAAAAAATTGGTAACATTTTGTTTATGCCATAAGACAAGTGTTTTATTAGTTCGACAAAAATAGTGGATTTACTAAATATTGTGCATTTTTAAAGAGGTTCAAGATAACGCGAGCTTTATAAAATACGAATGCTTCTTCTCGCCTTGACGCCACGATCTGGGGAAAATCCGTTTTAAGAAGATATTTGAGGCGTGTTTTAAAACTTGAAAGCATTTTCGAGCTTAACTTTATACAGGGTCATTATTGACAAGCGTCAGTTAGAAAGATATGGAGAACCTTTGAAAATGAAACTAAATTGATAAGTCTTTTAAGGGTTTTGGCACATGATGAATTGACTAAAAATATTTTTCAACATGGCGCCACTCCTGAAATACCGGAGTTAGCCATCAACTTTGTTATTTTAAATAGGGACTCCCTATTTTTTCTAAACATTTTCGGTTCTACGTCGAATTTGGGAGTACAACGATAAACCCCATACTTGACCCTTTGCTCCAATGGATTTTATCGTTATTCAATGTTTATATGTCAAAAATTGAAATTTGCGGGGTACATTTTAAAAATTTGTTATTTCGAAAAAACGGTGACAGATATTGCAAAACAGTTTTTCCCACTGCTTTATTAGGAAATATCGAATTTTCTTATGGCATGCGTACCGTCTAAAAGTGAGAATAACGTTCAAACTTTTTCAAAGATCTCAACTTTTAAATATTTTTTCAAATATCCATAACCCCATTTTTTCAAATGGCAACTCAATTTTTTCTTCACTGTTTGTTTTCCTTTTTCCGAGACCTTTAATTTGATACAATGTCAAAGACTGCTTCAAACGGTTTCCGAGAATATCCATGTTTTCACAACTTCTTGTAACAAATTGATAAAATAATTAGTCTCTTTTGAATAGCATTTAAGCAATGCAGTTGGATTTAGTAAGTCAGTACAGTTATTGTTTTTTCTTCAGAGTCTACCACAGGCTTTCTTTTTATTAAAGTTATTTTATATATCCAAAAAGCACAATTAGAACATGTATTTATTCTTTTGTGAAAAAGAATACAATTCTACAAAATTGACTGACAGAATATTTTTCATTCTTAAACACGCCAACTTATTTTAATTTTCGTTTAAAATGGCAATTAACATTTTTACTTTAACACTTTCTCTTGTTACTAACATTTTAACACAAAAGAAGGCACATCATAAAAGTCCCATTTTCACACACAAGATTTTTAGACGTGTGCTTGACAACGGCTTCGTCATGATGTCTGCTACTTGATGTTCTGTAGAGATTTGTTTGACACCTAATTTTCCCTCAGTGACTTTTTCTCGTATAAAAAAATGTTTGATAGAAATGTGCTTAGTTCTCCGATGAAACTCCGGGTTTTGAGCCAGTCTCACTGCAGCGGTATTATCAACTTGAATAACAAGAGCCTGCTCAGCAAAATTGCCTCTTTTGCTCCTTCGTTTGCTGCCATGATTTCAGTTTCAGTTGTTGATGTAGCTACAACTGCTTGTCGTTGGTTCAACCAAGAAATTGCTCCTCCTGAGTATTTCACGATGACTTCTGAGGTTGAACGACCTGTTTTCGTACATCCCCCGAAATCAGCATCACTGTAGATCTCCAAAACTCCAGCCTCTTCTTTTCTCCTACAGTAGACTATCCCAAAGTTCAAAGTCCCTGCGATGTACCGAAAAACTCTCTTGACTAGTACGACATCTTCTTGAGTTGGATTTTCAAGGACTCTTAAGATGTATCCTACGCTGTACGCTAGATCAGGTCTTGTGCCGAGCATTAGGTACATCAGTGCTCCAACTGCTTGCCTGTAGGGAAATTGTATCGCCTGGTTAACTTTCCCTGATGTGGAAGTTTCTTCACCCTTGAGCATTGGAGTAGAAACTGGTTTGCAATCTGACATATTGAAACGCTCCAAAATTTTTTCTGCATAAGTTTTTTGATGAATCTTTATAAACCCTTCTTCTTGTTGTATTTCAATTCCCATTCGCCTCTGTGGGTCGCGACTTGTCAGGGTATCTTTCGGAAAAAAGAGGGCAGGTCCTGGCCGCTATTCGATTACATTCACCGTGTATTATATTCAATTCAAAAAATCTTCGTTAGTGTAACCCAAACGAGCCATTATTGACGAGAAATAAAAGTTAAAAACTGTTCAAGAAGCGAAAATTTGACGTTTAGACGTTATCATAATAAAAACAAAAGAATAACATCAAGCGACTTAATTTTTTTTATCAATAGACGGTTTCGGCGTAAGTTTGACCTTGAAAGGATAAAGAGGAAAGTTCTACCCTAGTTTTGTTTCTTTCTAACAGTGTCGCCACACATAGCGCAATATATCCCCAAATTGATTAGTTATTTTTACAATATTACCATATAATTGGTAATCCATGTTTATAGTAATATAACCTTACAAAACATTCGCATAACCTCATTTATTCGTTTCTGTCATCATTATTTCCTGGCCTTTTCTAGTTTTCTCATTGCATATTTCCATTTATCTTTCACATTCCACCTTTGATTATTTTATTTCCTTTTGCATTTTTTGAATACCCTGTCTTTAACCTTTATACCAAACAGTTTTTTTTTAAACTAAACTGTACACAATCCTTCTTGCTCAAGTAAGTATTATGTAAAAAGAAGGTTACATTATGATTGATTCTGTTCATTATAGGAGGCATTACAATGCCAAAGTGTTATTACAAGGATTGCAACAACACCTCAAAGTCTAAAAGGTGTCGCAATCTCCGTTATCATCCGTTCCCTAAACCACTGCGGAATATGGCGAAGAGCTTATTATGGATTGAACGTGGCTACATTTACCTAACGCAGATTGTTTACACTCGCATCTACCATTAACTACAGCTCCCGATGCTTTGTTTAAAGTTATCACTACAGAGTACGATTTATTCTTATTAAATGATGCAAAACACTTTGCTTTTAAAAGGTAAAATCGGTTATCACTGCTGTCAAACACTTCCTGCAAGTGATCGCTGCTTACAAACTGGCTGCCACGTCGAAACGGTTTTTCTGTTACACCTGCATTGTTGCTGACATAATCTTCATTTTCAAAGAAGCATCCCACAAGATAGGTATAGATGTGGCCCTTGTTGAAATATTGGGGGATTTCACGATGTAATGTTCCCTCTGGTGGAGAGAACATTTAGGGAAAAGAACCACTCTTAAGATGACTTAAAACTTTATTTACTTAACACCTACCTATATCTACTACATTACGATTATTACTGACTGCACGCAACGCTTTACTTAATCAGTTATGAGTTAATTAATAATTAATTGTCACGTCATGTCATGCGCAAATCAATATTTTATATTCTTATTCCATTACAACGAGATGGGAATGTTGCCCACAGAAGAGTCTCATCAGATGCAGGACCTGATGCAGCAGTTGAAGTGGAAGCAGTTACAACAACGTTCCGTTTCATATCGTACCATTTGCCTCCATCAATAGCTAGGGAAATACTATTACTGCGTCCCGCTTCAATACAGTTTACAACCCTACAAATAAATGAGATATAAGTAATTCTACTAAGCACAATAAATTTGCCTATTTACCTTTGCACTAAATCAGTTTTATTTCCTGTTTTCTTTAATGCACGACACTCTAACCACCTTTGCAACTCCAGGTTAGAATGGTCCTCAATATTTACACCATGGCGTAAAACAGCACCAGGAACATCTTCTGGTAATAGGGAAATCGATGGTTGATCCACTAATAAAATTGTACATTGCAATATATTATAAACATCTATAAAGTATAAAACTACTTACTTGAGCAAGAAGGATTGTGTACAGTTTAGTTTAAAAAAAAACTGTTTGGTATAAAGGTTAAAGACAGGGTATTCAAAAAATGCAAAAGGAAATAAAATAATCAAAGGTGGAATGTGAAAGATAAATGGAAATATGCAATGAGAAAACTAGAAAAGGCCAGGAAATAATGATGACAGAAACGAATAAATGAGGTTATGCGAATGTTTTGTAAGGTTATATTACTATAAACATGGATTACCAATTACATGGTAATATTGTAAAAATAACTAATCAATTTGGGGATATATTGCGCTATGTGTGGCGACACTGTTAGAAAGAAACAAAACTAGGGTAGAACTTTCCTCTTTATCCTTTCAAGGTCAAACTTACGCCGAAACCGTCTATTTGCTACAAGAAGTGACATGGAATATTTCGGAAACTGTTTGAAGCAGCCTTTGACATTTTGTATCAAATTAAAGGCCTCGGAAAAAGGAAAACATCAGTGAAGAAAAAAATGGGAGGGTGCCATTTGAAAAAATGGGATTATGGGGATTTAAATATTTAAAAGTTGAGAGCTTTGAAAAAGTGACATAGTCTCACTTTTTTAGACGGTTACGCATACCATAACAAAATTCAAAATTACCCCCGCAAATTCAATTTTTGACATAAAAACTTGAATATCGACAAAGCCATTGGAGCAAAGGGTGAACTATGAGGTATCGTTGTACTCCAAATTCGACGTAGAATCCGAAAATGTAGAAAAAATAGGGGGTCTCTATTTAAAATAACAAAGTTGATGGCTACTTCCGGTATTTGCGAAAGTGGCACCATCTTGAAAATATTTTAGTTCAATTCATCATGTACCAAAACCCTTAAGGCGGCTAGGGACAGGCCATTCAAAATTTAAGCTGCGCCTACGCAAATAATTATATAGGCAACCAATCGTGCAATTCGACAAGTTTCACCAGGCATAAGTAAGCTACCTGCAAATGACCTCATCTTCCTACAATAAAACCAGATTCCAGACCCTCATTATCGGCTATTCAACAAAAGTAACTGATTTATGGAATTTTAACTTTCTCCTGTTTTACTGTTTACTAATACTGGAAACCTTTGAATATAGAATAGGAAATCAAAGCTGAAAGCTCTACATACCTATATAAAAATATTACTAATGTATTACTTTCTAAGATATCATTCCTACTTACTTCCTATATAGGGATTTACAATAATGACTTTTGAGATTTGGACTTGGGTAATGAAGGGAACAATTTCCGAAACAAGAAAAACTGGTCTTCAATTTTTGTGGTTCATAGCACAAATTTATTTAAACAATTATCACATCCGATCAAACTACGGCCCCATAGATTTCTTATATTATGATAACGATTTTCACAGGTGCGCGGATGTAAGAATGGTATTTTTCTTCAATTAGATGAACAGTTTTCGATATTTCGCATGGCTTCCGCAATGTAGCCCGGTATTTGCTGCGTTTTCAACCTTCCCCCATTTATCAAATTATATATCTGAATTCTGATCTAATTTACAACAAAATAAATGACTCATTTTTCACTTATAATTGCACAAGAGGTTTGTATTTTACCGAATAAATTTGGGTTGTTAAGGTAATGAAAATCTGTTGCCTAGCAATTAGACGAGAAAAACTGTCAACTAATAAAAATGCGACACCGAAGGTGGAGCATTTTTAGTTTGACAGTTTTTCGAGTTCAATTGCTAAAAGGAAACAGATTTGAATTGCAACAACCCAAATTTACTCGGTTTAAATACAAACCTCGAGTGTAATTCGGCAGGACAATTTAACGAACAAGAAATTCACCAAACTAGTCAATTATTGACAGACGTCAAGCTAATCATATGGGAAAGGATAATGCGATAATTGTTCCAAAATGAATAAGTGAAAAAACCACTAGTGCATTTGTCGCTGTAAAAGTTGCAGGTAACTTTTGCCGCTGTCAAAGTGACAATTGCACTGCGGCTTATGCGATTTTTTATACATGAGTTGAATTGTCATTACAAAAAATGTTTTAATAGATTTTCGGAAATTTTCCAATTCCAACACGCCATTCGCCTGATGGTTTACGAAAATAGTTTATTTGGCTAGACGTCATACCTACAGTGGAATTATCAAAAGCATAGGTAGATTAAAAAATTATCAAAGTCCTCGTGTGGGATCGAAGAGAGATCAGCGCATTTTTGTGTGGCAGATCAGTATTGTATTAGCCACCATCAAAAAGATCTTATCGCAAGCTAACACATTCCCTTTGTCGGTACCCAATTCCTAAGTCAACTACCCCTCGCAGACGTGCGCCTTGTAAAATGAGGTTAACCAAGGAAAAAAACAAATTTTCGCCACGCAGTTATTGTGTCCGTTTACAAGATCTTTCCAACGGCACCATTTTGAAAACAATCTGATGGTGAGTAAAAACTTTAAACTCGAATTGCGGGTGAGCGAGACGTCGGAAGTGGGTACCGAGAAAGGGAATGTGGTGACTCCCACCAAGATCTTACTGATGGTGGAGTAAAACTTCAAACGCAAATTGGAGATGCACGGGACGTCGGACGCGAGTACCGACGAAGGGAATGTGGTAGCTTCGACAAGATCTCACACGAGGACTTTGACAATTTTTTACTAACGACATGCTGAAATAAAAAATTATCACTTGTAATGCTTGCTATTTCCGGAAACTTTTCGAGCTCACAAATATTTTTTTTTTTAATTTAATTAATTAATTAAGGCTATTCGGGATCTAGCCCATGGGCCTTATTATCTGATTGGTTTGAATGTTTATTTTATCGCGAATAAGATGGGATTTCAGGAATATGAGTAAACAGGGGCACAAAATTTCACATTGTGGTGTCCCTCACAATGACTTCTTTCAAGACACAAAACACAGACTCAGACCTCGGTTGCATAGGAGGGCAAACAATGGATGGTCACAAACGGACGCGAAGTATATATTTTTAAATTCTTAATTTACTATTCTTTAAAAAGTTCAGTAAGCTTCTACATATTGGCTCTTTATCAAGTGCCAGGAGGGAGATTAATTCTATGGGAAAAGACACGCCATGCGATTGTAATTCATTTAGTAATGTTTTCGTAGCTATAGTGTTATTGGGACATGCAAAAAATATGTGGTTCAAATCTCCAATTTCGTATCCACATGAACATTGCAATAGCAATAGCAATTGCTTCCGCTGTATAAATTGATAAATGTCTATTTAGACTAAATATTTGGTTTAGCTTACTTCTTTTTTTTTTAACTTACTTTCGCAAAATATTCGTGAGCAAGAAAAAAATTCTATTCAAGCACTGTGGTATTCGGTAAGAAAATTTCACACCATAGTGACCCTCAACGAAAAAGTGACGTTTTATGTCAAAACATTATTACCTTTTTACATCAAAAAATTGACGATAAATTCCTTGGTTGCCATGGAAATGTGACACGAAATCCGCATTTCATTGGTGGACAAAATTGCTAGTTGAAATTTTCGTTGAGATTTGTCACCTAAAGTATGTAAGACACAAGATTATCAATTTTTGTGTGAACAGTTTTTTAACAGAGCTGCTAGATTCAAGAAGGTGCCGACAACAAACAATTCGTCATGTTTATCTATAATAGGTACATCGTCCAAATTGTACATAATTTTTATGTAATCGATATTATTAAATTGCTTTTTTGATAAGTAGGTAACAATACACCTACATCAAATGTATGAAAAAAATGTATGAAACGGGTCTAAAAAATTAAAACGTTGTTACTCCTGAATATTACATTTATTGACGTACAATATTTTTTTAATTATCGGCCAATTATCGTTGGTACTAATAGACGAATAAATGGAAGGCATTGAGATTCTTTTGTTACTGGTCTAATAAGGGTCATAAACCATTGTATATAAGTATAATGGTCATTAGGTGTTAATATTTTCCAGGTAAAAGTGCTACCTGAGTTGCCTATCGTCATTGTATGGAAGGTATTGCATTTCTTCCGTCGCTATATTTTATATAAACTTTTGAGTAAAAATTACGTTTTATTTCATAATTTGAAGCAGTTCGTAATATATATTTTTAATCCACTTAGTTACTAAATAAATTGTGCGGATTTACTTTTTAAATATTTTTTTTACTAAGGCCAGTATTCGCGTTCTTAGTAAATTCAAGATTATCATTTATACACGACTTAAATAATTTTATCAAAAAAATAAATCGCTACATTTAATGACTTTCTATATCTCTATCAATTTCCGATAAGACCTCTAGTTAGAATTAATATTTGGGCTTTAAAAATTACTCAAAAGTTTCGACTTTTATTGCAAATTTCAGTGACCATTGTGTGTTGCCTATCCTCTATCCCTAGCCCCCTTAAAGGACTTATCAGTTTAGTTTCATTTTCAAAGGTCCTCCATATCTTTCTAACTGACGCTCGTCAAGAATGACGCTGTATATGCCGGGCCAATAACCTTGGGGATGTAACATGTTAGTACCCTAATATAAGAAAATTTTTCAAAAAAACTTATAATCACACCAATAGCATCAATCTAGATATCCTACATCAAAATAAACAAATGAATGTGTACGTTTTGTTACCATTTTATTGCTAATTTCATTTTGTCTTCAAGGTTTAATAAGAAACGTACACGTTCATTTGTTTTATTTTGATGTAGAATATCTAGATTGATGTTATTGATAGGATTACAATAATTTTTTTGAAAATTTTTTTTGTATATAGGTATAACATGTTACATCATCGAAAAAAAGTCTATCCAGATCCTAATGAAAAAGAGCACTGCCATTTAAAAAATTCAATTGTTTTTCGTTACTCATTTGTTTTCTGAAATAAAAACAACCGAATGCTGCCTTAGTATGGGAAAAAAATTTCAAACAGCATTCTTATAGAAAATTTTGTATACATTGGATATTTACCGAGATATAGAGAGATATTCCATACATAATGTGCACCCTGTATATTATAGTATATTCGCTGTAGCTTTGCCAATATATCGTTAGCGCTTAATTTCTGAAGACACATCCTTACATCGTTCTTGTTTTTTTCTTACTTATGTGTGTCA